AATCTTGAATGTAAATGGTTTAAAATCCACAATTAAATGATATAAACTAGATTTAAAAGGGACCCAACTATATGCTATCAACAAGAAACTCACTTCACCTGTAAAGACACGTGTTGAAAGTGAAGCAAAAAAGATATCCCATGCAGGCTGGGTGTGGTGGCTCATGCCTATAATCCTAGCTCTCTGGGAGGCTGAAGCAGGAGGACCACTTAAGCTCAGTTTAGTGAGCCTGAACAACAGTGAGACCCCGTCTCTATTACAAAGAAAAAGGTAAAAAAAAAAAAATATTCCATGCAAACAAAAACCAAGAGTATGAAGGGCTTGCTATACTTAGACAAAACAGACTAAGTCAAAAAACATAAAAAAGCACAAAAAGGTCATTGTGGAATGCTAATGGGATCAATTCAGCAACAGGATATAACAACTGTAAATATACATGCACCCATACTGGAGTACTCAGATATATAAAACAAAAGTTATCAGAGCTAAACAGAGAGAGAGAGACAGAGAGAGAGAGAGACAGAGAGAGTGCGCGTACAACAAGCGCGCGCATGCATGCTATCGATACAGTAATAGTTGGGGACTTCAACATACCATTTTCAGCTTTGAACAGATCATCTAGACAGAAAATTAACAAAGAAACATTGGATTTAAACTGCACTATAGAGCAAATGGACCTAACAGACATTTACAGAACATTTCATTTAACAGCAGTAGAATATACATTTTCTCATCAACACATTTAACATTTTACAGGATGGACCATATGGTAGGACATAAAACAAGTTTCAACATATTTTTAAAAATTGAATTTCTATCAGTTATCTTCTCAGAACAAAATGGAGTAAAACTAGAAGCCAATAATAAGAAGAACTTTGAAAACTGTACAGATATATGGAAATTAAACAACATGCTCCTAAACTATCACTGGGTCAATGAAGAAATTAAGAAGAAAAAAAATTCTTGAAACAAATGAAAATAGAAGCACAACATTCCAAAACTTATGGGATACAGAAAAAAGTGGTACTAAGGGAGAAGCTTATAGGAAAAACACCTACATCAAAAAAAGAGAAAGTTTTCAAATAAACAATCTAACAATGCAGCTTAAGGAATTATAAAAGAACAAATAAAACCCCAAATTAGTAGAAGGAAAGAAACAAAGATCAGAGAAGAACTAAACAAAATAGAGTGAAAAAAAAATACAAAAGATCAACAAATGAAAGGTGGTTTTTTAAAAAAAAAAAACAAAGTCAATAAACCATTAGGAAGACTAAGGAAAAAAGCGAGAAGGCCCAAATAAATAAAACCAGAAACAAAAAAGGAGACATTACAACTGATACCACAGAAATATTAAGGATCATTAGAGGCTATTATGAACAAACATACACCAACAAATTGGAAAACCTAGAGGAAAAGGATAAATTCCTAGACACATATAAACTACAAAGATTTAACCAGAAAAAAAAAAAAAATGAAAAGCCAAACAAACCAACAACAACACACTGTGAGACTGAAACAGTAATAGAAAGTCTCCAAAGACCAGATCAGAGCTGGATAGCTTTACCGCTGAATTCTACCAAGTTTAAATAAGAACACCAATTCTTCTCAAACTATTCCAATAAATTGAAGAGGGAATTCTTTTTAATTCATTCTATGAGGCCCATGTTATCCTGATACCTAAGCCATCAAGTACACACACACACACACACACACACACACACACACACGTGCGCGCAAACTACAGGCCAATATCCTTGATGAACATAATTGTAAACAAACTCGAACAAAATATTAGCAAACCAAATCCAACAACATCTCAAAAAAAATATACACCATCCACTGAGTGTATATGGAGTAAAAAGAAAATTTTGAAAAAGGAAAAAAAAAATGCACTATGATTAAGTGGGAGTTATTCCAGGTATGCAAGGATGGTTCAACATATGAAAATCAATAGAAGTGGCATATTACACCAACACAATAAAGACCAATAAAAGCCATATATAACAAACCCATAGCTAACATACTGAATGCAGAAAACCTGAAAAAGAACTAGAACAAGATAAGGATGCCCACTTTTACCACTCCTATTCAGCATAGTACTTACTAGCAGTCCTAGCCAGAGCAATTAGGCAAGAGAAAGAAATAAAGATATCCAAATTGTAAAAGAAAGAGTAAACTAGTCCTTCTTTGCACAAGACACAATCTTATATATAGAAAAACCCAAAGACCCCACCAGAAAACTGTTAGAAACGATAAATGAATTCAGTAAAGATACTGGATATAAAATGAACATACAAAATAGGCACAGTGGCTCATGCCTGTAATCCTAGCACTCTGGGAGGCCGAGGCAGGAGGATCGCCCAAGGTCTAGATTTCGAAACCAGCTTGAGCAAGAGCAAGACCCTGTCTCTACTAAAAATAGAAAGAAACTAATTGGTCAACTAAAAATATATAGAAAAAATTAGCCGGCATGGTGGCACATGCCTGCAGTCCCAGATACTTCAGAGGCCGAGGCAGAAGGATTGCTTGAGCCCAGGAGTTTGAGGTTGCTGTGAGCAAAGCTGATGCCACGGCACTCCAGCTTGGGCAACAGAGTAAGACTTTGTCTCAAAAAAGAAATTCAGCCATGTTTCTATACACCAATAACTGGCTGAAAAAGAAATCAAGAAATTAATCCCATTAACAATAGCTACAAAAAAGAAAACACCCAGGCATGTATTTAACACAGAAGGTGAAAGAAGGTTTTCTTCAATGAAAACTACAAAACACTCATGAAAAAAACTGAAGAGGCCACAAGAAAATTAAAAGACATACTATACTCATGAATTGAAGGAAATAAAAAAGTTAATACTGTTAAAATGACCACACTACCCAGGGCAATCTATACATTCAATGTAATCCCTACTGAATATCAATGACATTCTTCACAGAAATAGAAAAAATAATCCTGAAATTCATTTGGAACCACAAAAGAGCGTGAATAGCCAAAATCAAATTGAGCAAAACAACAAAGCTGGAAGCATAACACTACCTGACTTCAAAATATTCTACAAAGCTATAGGAACCAAAACAGCATGGTATTGTTATAAAACAGACACACAGACCAATGGAAAAGAATAGAAAATACAGAAATAAACTTACATATTTACAGTCAACTAATTTTTGGCAAAGGTGCCAAAAACACATGTTAGGGAAAAGACACCCTCTTTAATAAATTGTGCTGGAAAAACTGACTATCCATATGCAGAAGAATGAAACTAGATCCCTATCTCTCGCCACATACAAAAATCAACTCAAAATGGATTGAAGGCTTAAACATGAGACCTGAAACTATAAAACTAATAGAAGAAAACATAGGGCAAGTGCTTCACGACATGGGTCTGGGCAAAGATTTTATAGGTAAGACTTCAAAGGCACAGGGCAATAAAAATAGAAAAACGGGACTATATCAAACTAAAAATCTTCTGTATAGCAAAGGAAACAACAGAATAAAGAGACAACCTGTACAATGTCAAATATTTGCAAACTATTCATCTGACAAGGGACTAATATTCAGAATATATAAGGAACAATTGAACAGCAAAAAAAAAAAATCTGATTAAAAAATAGGCAAAGGACGGGTGTGATGCATCCTGTCTGGGGGATGGGCACACTTGTAGCTCTGACTCGCACAGTGTAAAGGCAATTTATGTAACCAACAATGTTTTTGTACCCCCATAATACCCTGAAATGAAAAATAATTAGAAATTAAAAAATACAGGTGAAGGATCTGAATAGACACTTTTCAAAAGACAACGTAGATATAGCCAACAAATGTATGAATAAATGCTCATCATCACTGATCATCAGGAAAATGCAAATCAAAAGCCCAATGGGATATCATTTCACCCCAGTTAGAATGGCTATTACCAAAAGGACAAAAAATAAATGCTGGTGGGGATATGGAGAAAAGGGAACTCTTATACATACACTCTTGGTGGGAATGTAAGGTAGTACAGCCATTGTGGACACAGTGTGGAGGTTTCCTAAGAAATCTGTTGGGATTACAATCCAGCATTGCCGCTAACTGGGTATTTAAAGAAAGGAAAGGAGGTCAGAATATTGAAGACATACCACCTGTACCCCCCCATTTATTGCAGCACTATTCACAAGAGCCAAGATATGGAAGCAATCTAAATGTCCATCAACAGACAGATGAATGGATAAAGAAAATGTGGTGTGTATATATGTATGTGTGTACACACACACACACACACACTGGAATACAGCCATTTAAAAGAATAAAATCCTGTCATTTGTGGCAACATGGATAAGCCTCAAGGACATTATATTAAGTGAAATAAAGTCAGACACAGAAAGAAATAGTACATGTTGTCACTCATATGTAGGAGTTAAAAAAATTGAGCTCCTATAAGTGGAAAGAACTGTGGGTATCAGAGGCTGGGAAGCGTAGTGGGGAGGAGAGAATGGGGAGAGGTTGGTTAAGGGATACAAAATTATAGCTAGATAGAATAAATTCTAGTGTTCCATAGCACTATATTATATATAACAATAATTTATTGCCTATTTTCAAAAAGCTAGAAGAGAGGGTTTTAAATATTCATAACACATAGATATGATAAATGTTTGAGGTGACAGATATACTAATTACACCGATTTGATCATTACACATTGTATGCATTAAAACACTCTATCTCAAACATGTATAATTATTACACGTCAATCAAAAAGGAAGGGGGAAAAAGTTTTTTAAATCCTTTAAAGAATTTATAATTTCCTTAAGAATGTTTTATTTGCTATTTTAATATATTTTTGCCTACCATTAAAAGCCCTGAGGGCTTTTTGGTTAATTTTCTTTACCCAAAGTATCTCCATTATGACATATTTTTTAAATGTATCACTATATTAACAAGACAGTCAGAGTCAAACATAATTGCCATCCCTACAAAGCAGAAATTTTATTTATTTTTTGTCCCAAAATCAAAGTGCTCTGTTCCTACCTTTTAAGGACAAGGGACTGGATCTTGTGAATTCTGTGTTTGACGGCCTGTGCTGTTTACGAACTCCCAAGTACTCCTTAACTCTTGAATCAATGGTTTCTTTTAACAGTAAACAGACTTCCTAAAATACATAAAAAATTGGATATAACTTTCTACTTTAATGCAATGCAAAAAGTTAACATAGTCCATGTTAAAAAGTCAACGCTGAACATTTCATTTTGTTTGCTTTTTAATTTAGCTATGAATGCTGAAAAAATGCTGTATGTGCTTGTGGATGACACTAGCAGGGGACCTCAAAATCCAGCCCTCCAGGTGTTTCTGCCACCGCTGCCTGTCCTGCTTAGCAGCCCCGGGTCCACAGTGCGCAGCTCGTGTGGAATGTGCGCCTCGCTCTCCAACAGCCCTCCAACGGTCTGAGGGACAGTGAACTGGGCCCCTGTTTAAAAAGTTTGAGGACCCCTGCACTATAGATTTAAATGTGCTACTAATGTTTGTTCAAAATCACGACGTTGGCTCACTGTGTGATCTGGGAAATTCATTTCATTTCTCTCTGCCTCAGTTTCACATTTCTAAAAGGAAGAGAAAAACACTTCAAAGTAAACATTAGGGTGACAAGGTGATAAAACCAGTGAGCTAAAGAATGTTTTCATGTAAACATCAGTTATTGCATTGTGATAAACAGAAGAGGAAAGTCAAATAGAGCCAACACAGGCTGGCAGCCAGGGCCCCAGGGAAATGTCCACTGTGGCCAGGCAGGGGGCTACGGATAGGGAAGGAGTCAGGAGTAAGGGCATGTTCTCAGACTGTTGGTGCACATGGCATTGGGTGCCCAGACCACAGTCCAGTCAACGGCAGCCACCCCCTGCAACCTCCCATTGTTTTTGTGGACTGTTGCTATATTTACAGGCACAGCATTGCCAGATCTTCCAGTTTGTTCCCCAGGAGCCAGAAACAGTGACTTTATACATTTTTTTTTTAATCTAAACACCATCATTCATTTGTTTCTGGCTTCAGGTTTACAAATCTACTGAAGAAGAAATAGTGCTATGCAGTGGGGTAAACTGAGAAATGACAACCAGTAATCTGAATTTTTTTCCACATTCTTGTTAATGATACTGTATGTGCCCCATTTGCTTTTGTTAAAACTGCACTATAGTCACCTATGAATGGTGAAAATGATTTAATGTCTCTAAAGTAGATTAACATTTATTAGGCAAGAGAAATGAGTGGTTTTAATTCAATTTCAACATTCCATATAACTAGCAAATTTCTGGGTATGTCAATTGTATTATATAATATATTGGTGGTATTTATGAAGAGGAAAAACAAAAATTTAAGCCATGCCACATAATGAGAAGATACTCTGCAGTGTTTCCTGCACTACCAGGAAAATGTAACCTAATGTAGGAAAAGAGAGTAAAATTGCATGCAAAAGAACTGATACTTAAAGACTGATAATTCTTCCCAAAGACTCTGCAGCAGGCTCAGAGTTGCCCAGGTCACTTCAAACCTGTTTCACTGGTTTCTTGCAATGTCATCTCAGGTTGATCTCTTTAGAATCTTCATAAATTAAAACAAGAACACAGTTTTTAGCTGCTCTGAAGAGAGCCATGCTAGTGAAACTTTTCTTTTATTACAAATGCTTGGACCCCTCAAACAGCATAGAAAAACCCTTGGTTTAACTCACAAATGTGAATTTCCTGCTTTTCATTTTACAGCTCAAAGATGTAGTGCCTTGTGGAACACAGAGATATCCATTTACAGTTGAGTGTTTTGGCATTGTTCACACAACAGAAAGGCAGCTTTGCCTCATGCTGGGTTTTCTTTCTTTTTTTTTTCTCTTTAACAATTAAAGAATTTTGCTTCACATGCAGGGTTCAACTATGACTGAGCTAGAAAATATGTGGAAGACATACATGGAAACAAGGATTGCTAAAATTTGGTCATAAATGCCCTATAAGGCTAGAACTAAAAATAGTGCGACAAAAATAAAGCAAAGGCCCATACGCATAAGCTCTCCCCCTCTAGCTATGGGGCTGTCCTTCCATGAGTCAGGTTTGACAAATGAAAGGTAGGCCATGAGCAATGTGGTCAAGATACCCGAGGAACTGACCACACCATGCTTGGGGAAGTCTTCTCTTCAGAACCAGAGCAATTCAAGGAAAGAAAAACTTCCAGCTACATGTGAGGGGCAGATGAGAAGACAGGTTAAAATCAGTGGACGAGAGAGAAATACAGAGGGCATCTCTAGGCTAATGGGGGCTTATGTTCCCTTCCTCAAGTTTACAAATGGAACAGTTTGAGTTTGACTGTTTGGGTACAAAGACTACTCGTGCTGGACTCAAAATAAACAGGTTTAATACATGTAATGAATTCCTTTTTCTAGAAAGGAACTGGATATTCTTAGGCTTTCACTATATAAAGGGCCTGTTAAAATGTAATCAAACTGGCTGCTCATGAAATCCCAATCATGCGATGATCTAATGATAAAAAAAAGATGAAAGCTCTGGGACACTGAACACAGACTCAAGTCATATCCTTTCCTCGGCTAGCTTTGCTCCTTTCTTACACAAACTATCCCAGGGCAGTTGTCATCAGTGAACGTATATTTCAAAGGAGCAACTTGAAGTAGCAGCAGCAAACCGACTACTTTGCCTTGAGAGGACAGCTCAGCCTGTTGGCACTCCTGCCCGCTTGCAGCTGCCGCCACCGCCGGGCTGCTCCGCAGGTCCCATCACGCACTGCTCCTCTTTGCTAAGTCATGCCCCGCTGCCCTCCAGTAGGTACCAGGCGGAGCAATGCAGCTGCAGGTGCCACCTTGAAACAAACCTAGTCTCATGCTTCAGCTAAGAGGTGACTCACATACGCATGGCTTTATTTTAAAGCATTCCAAATCGGCTGTCTGTTTTGGGCAAAACTGATTAAACATCAACAAGAAAGGTCTAAGGCCGAGGTGGTCAATGGAGGAAAAGAACGGGCCTGGAATGGTGGATTCTAGAACATTGTTAATGTAAGTAAAGTCAGGAGGTTTTGGGTGAGGTCCCCTCGGGTGAATATTAGTCACTTTGGGGAAATGAATGAACTGTTTTGAATCATGGGGATGTATGCTAATAAGCTAAAGCAGGGAATTATGTGAAGGTACGTGGCAGTAGGAGATGGTGGTCTGCTAAATGTTTACAAGTCCTGAAGAGTCAGGCAGGGTGGCTCATGCCTGTAACCCAGCTAACTCAGGAGGCTGAGGCGAGAGGATCCCTTGCAGGTCAGGAGTTTGAGACCAGCTTGGGCAACAAATGGAGACCTCATCTCAAAAAAAAAAAAAAAAAAAAAAAAAAAAAAAAAAAAAAAAAAAAAAAAAAAAAAAAAAAAAAAAAAAGGAAAGAAAAGAAAAGTTTTTTCTTTTTCTTTCAAAAAGGTCTGAAGAGGAAAATCCACAGTTATTTACCTGAAGGATAAATCCCATCATAATGAACCTAAGCTTTGGGTTCCTAGGTATCCTTTACAAAATAATGACAGCAAAGTCCTGGTGATATTACCTTTTGACTAAAAATGTGTTATCTGACAAATTTGGGGGGAGTGTGGGAGGATTTTTTTTTTCTAATGATCTCCAAAAGCTGACTGAAACAGTTACCACAGGAAAGCTTTTTATATATTTTTACCAATATTACTAGTTTCTTCTCTGTATAGTACCTTTTAATAAAACTTTTTATTTCTCACTCTAAAAAGCAATCGTGATAAATGAACATCATGGAGAACACAAAGTGTGATGATATTGTGAAAGTTATATACAAGTTGCTACCTGGCCAGCCCCATTCTCTGGTGAGCAGGGACTGGAGAACTAAACGCACCTCGGAAGCCACCACCATGATGGCATTCGGGTGGGAGCACCGAAATTTCGAACTAGGAGTGGACTTAGAACCTTCTAGTAGAACCCTTCCACCTGCAGGGGAGGTGGCAGAGGATGAAAGAGGTCCACCATGCTCCTATACACAGGACCAGTTGGTTTCCTGACTGACCAACATGAGGGAAAGAATACAGTCAAATATCTCACCTGTCAAAGGTTCATGATAATAAAAGGACGGCAGAAAAGCAGCAGTTTTAAGACAGGTGTGAAGGATCAGCTTGTGTTAACCTCCACACCTGCTCCAGGTGTTCCAGCCCATCCTTCCAAACCAGTCAGATTAAAATGCCTGCTCACCTGGAATAGTCACGTTTAACTACTACTTCTCCTCTTTTTAAAAATGGAGAAGCCCGTTCTCCCTGGCCCCAAACAAAGAGGTAGCAGATTTCTGGTTTAAATAACAGAGTAGCACATAAAGTGAATGGATGTGACAGTTTCTGAATGGGGGAAAAAAAAAAACAACAAAAAACTGCATGTATCTGTGTATGTTGTTGGGAATACAATTGTTTTTCAAGGGATAAATACCACTTAATATTTTTCCCCCACTAAGAAAAATGAAAGCTGCTAAGAGCTAACATTTCTTCTAGCAGTAGCAGTTGCTTGCATTTAAAGCGTAAAAAGCTTCGCCGTACCTCTTTCTTCTGTTCAGAAAACCAGCTGGTATCCTTGTCTGAACCTTGCGGCAATATATGAAGATCCACCAGGACAGCAAAATTCCCACACTGAAAGACATGGATAGCAGAGTCAGTGTCTGCGAGGCTCACGTCCAGCAAACGATGAGAGAAAATCTCACAAATTCCTGTGCGGTTGCTCACGATGAAATGGCAACAACGTTCACTACTAGGCAGCAATCTTAACACCACACAGGGCTACAGGTCGTACCCTACTACTTTTCCTAAGTTTGAAATTTACAGCGGAAATGCTAAGGAGAAATGCAGTGTTAATCAGGATAGGAAAGACAGAATATTTGTCTCTGGGCAGCACCTCAAAAGGGGATGCCCAGGTATCCCAGGGGCGATTGGAAGACTGTCAAATACTGAGGGAAGTTAAACAGGCCAGGACTAGGGAGGCTCCAGAAAGAATGATTCCATGCACAGCCGGAAGAATTCTTTCTTCTAAGCAGGAAAGAGCAGATATAAGCTACTGAATTTTCAGACAGACAGAAGGACCGGCTGGGAGAAGAGAAAGGTAGATACTGAATGCCGGCTATCAAAACTAAAGAAACTTTCATTGAAATATGCTACAAAACTGTATACAGCCTACCTCTCCTTCTTAGTCTATGGGCTAGCGCTGTCCAGCACTTTAGAAAAAATGGAAATATTCTGTACCTATGCTGTTCCTGAGTGCTTGAAATGTGGCTATTGTGACCAAGGAGCTAAATTCAAAATTTTAAATAGCCACCTGTGGCTAGTGGCTCCGTATTAGATAGCACAGCTACAGACCCTTGAAAAGTCATAGGCTTGTAAATCCTCACACCTTATGAGTAAAGTACTTTCTGAGAATCACAATATAACTGTGAATAAACTAATCTAGAAATGAATGGTAGACCAAGACTGTAGGCTGGGGATGTTTTAACTGGCCTAGAGGTTCAAAGTGAACCACAGGAAAAAAAAAATCAATTTCACCTTTTTGGCTGAATAGTTTTTGTTTTTTAAAATTCTGTGGTATAAATCAAGGGTGAAAGGAAAGTAGTTTCAAGAAACAGTGTTAAAACATCAGACATAAATATGGAAAGAAACTGAAACTTGACACCTACTTCACACCATACACAAAATTTAATTTGTGATGGATCATAGACATAAACATGAAAGTCAAAACTAATTTTCCCAACCTCTGGGATAGGAAGATTTCCTAGACGAGATCCGGAAAGCACCAGATATTGAGAAAAAAAATTGTTAACTTTGACATTGCCAAAATAAAAACTTATGTTCATTAAAAAACACCATTAATAAAATATGTATGTCACAGACTTGGAAAAAAATGTATTCATAAATACATATATCTGGCATAAAGGACTGGTATCCAAAACACAAAAATTTTTTTTACCTTTAAAATTCAGTCATATAATGTGAATAAATGACCCTATCTTTGTACCCACACACAAAAAAAGCTTACCTTCAAAACACGTAAAAAACTACAAATGAATATTTAAAAAACAACCCAAAGTCAGACATTTCACCAAATTAAGATAAATGGCTAATAAGAACATGAAAACAGTGTTCAACACCATCAGTCATTAGCAAATGCAAATTAAACCAACCAAGAGATATTAAATACAACTACAATACCCTCCAGAATGACTAAAATTAAACAGACTGACACTACACTAAATGTTGTTAAAGATACGGAGCTACCCAAACTTTCATACTTTCCTAGTGAAAATGTAAAATCATTTAACTACTTTGGCAAACAGTTTGCCATTTTTCTACAGTTAAAAATTCATTTATTTACCAACTGAGCCAAGAGAGAGAAAGCATATGTGCACACTAAGACTTGTGTGCAAATGTTCATGGAAGTGTTATCTATAATAACCCAAACTGAAGACAACCCAAAAGTCTATCAACAGGAGAGCAAACAAGTTGTGATATATTCATGCAGCGGAACGCCACTCACCACACTGCTGATATACTCAACGTGGATTAATCTCAAAAACATTAGGCTGAGCAAAATAAGTCAGAGCAAAAGAATACTCACTGTATGATTCTCCATCTATATAAAATTCTAAAACAGCAAAACCAATGTATAGTGAAAAAAAATCAGAGCAATGATTGCCCAGAAAGTAACTGGCTGAGAACCAGCACCAAAGCAATTTGGTATGGTGATGAGAATGTTATTTTGATGGGATATCGTAGGTATACACCTAAGATCAGTTCCTTTCACTCTGTATAAATTACACATCAATAATAATTTTTTTAACATTGTGTAAAAATGTATTTGGATTTGTTAGTAGTTATTCAAAAGGTAGGTACTATGTCCCTGAAAATGTATGGTTATTTTGAGGGAGACCAAAATGAACCGTGAAGCATGATAAAAGATGGTCTCCTATGATGTCAATTGCACTGTGACCCACTAAACTCAGTTTAGCGTGCTGCAGCCAGCATTTTATTTTAATGAAATATTAGAATGCAATAAAAAATATTAGTGTCACATGTTAAGGCCAAGAATTGTTTTGTGAAATATAAGTACGTGTGTAGTGAGTTACGCTGGAGAGCCTATTTCTTATTGCAGGTTGTGGTCAAAAATGTTTGAAAATCATATTCAAGTATACTGTTATTTTTAAAGTTTCTTCTCAACTGTTGATTATAGATTTAACCTTTAAGGAGTATGCTGCCACCAGGTGGAGGTTGAATGCCACAACTAGAAGATCTCAGCCAGGAAATATTAACCTTTTGTACGCCATGGACCTCTTTAACCATCTGTGAAGCTGATGAGATTTGCTCAGAATAAATGTTCTTTTTTATTATTTTTAATTTTTTTGGTTTTTTTAGAGACAAGGTCTCACTATGTTACCCAGGCTGGATGCAAACCCCTGGGCTCAAGCTATCTTCCTGCCTCAGCCTCCCAAAGAGCTGGGACTACAGACATGCATCATCGCACTTAGCTAGAATAATATTCTTAAATGCATAAAACACACCACATAGGATTTAAAAAGAAGACCAATTACGCTGCAGTATGGTTATCAAAACAAAACAAATTTGTGATATAGTAATGTATGCACTTGTTTATTAAGGCATTGGTTTTTCTTGTCACATAGTAGTGGATATAGTGAGACTAATAAATCTGAAGTAGTGATGAACATAAATAATATTTTCTGATACTTGCAATGACTATTATGTAATATGAAAAGAGCTACAATTCCTAATGGTGACAAATATTGCTAATGCTATTGTATTCTGAATCCTACATTCATAATGAAAGGAAAACTAAATTGATTAGAACTTGGTCAAAATAAAGATATAACTTTTTTTTCTCATCCAAATTCACCGAACCTCTGGACTCATGCCCACTGAAATCCCAGGAATTCTAGAATCAAAGTCCTTCTAATGCTGTGAGACGTGGCTCACATACATTTCACTGAGGTTTTCCATAGCTTCTCCACCCCAATTCTTCATTCTAAACCAAGTTCTCTGCTACCTCTTTATCAGCAAAAATAATTCTTAAAATAATTTTTTAAAAATAGTGAAGCTTAAACAACTTGACTTAGTACTGTCACAGTAGCTTTCTAAAGGATTAAATAGCAAGGTCCAATTTGGTATTTTGCTCAGCATTTTGTGACTTTGGTCACAGATAACCTAGTTTAAGTTTCATTATAAACAGACCGATTAGAATGTCGTGTTTCTGGTTTTTAATAAATCATGGAATCTTATGCTGGTGATCCAACTTTCCCAGGGTTTCCGAATGACTCCAGTCCCCTCCCCCACAGCAGGCTGTCCCTGTGCAGCCAGCAATTCTGAGCGCTCCAGCTTGAGCTCTCTCAAACTCCCACACTCCTCAGACGGATTTTGCCTTTCTAAAGTTCCCTGCTCTTAAAGCTTTGCTTTTCTCCCATGGGTAAACAGAAGGGAAAAAAAAAATAAAAGAAAGCTTCTCACCACTGCCAGCGGCCCAGCCTCCCTTTCTCCTCCTCCTTAATGAGGAGGAGGCTATTTCTCCTCTCAGAGGATAAACTCTCCAGCTCTCTTCTGAGAGGAGCAAGACAGTAACCAACACTTTTTTCTCAGGCCAGAGCTGGTCATTTCGCAGAGGCCAAGTTGCCTCTTTAACAGCCCGCAAGCTGCTAGAAGCTGTTTCACAGCCTGTGCACTGCGCTCTGAGTCCACAGGCCAGGCAGGGTCTCATCCTAGCCTCTACCCTCTCCCTCCCAGAGGTTTCTGCCCAACCTGGGAGTCCTCCCTAACTCCTCTCTTTCCCTAACCCTATAGAACCAGTCAATGCATCTTGTTGATTTTATTTTTTAAAGAGCTTTCAAACATTCCTTTTCTCTTGTTCCGTTGCTCGTAGCATCTCCCACTTGGGATATTAGAGCCACTTGTATTGGCGTCCCAGATGAACCCTTGGTGCCTCTACCAGGGCAATCTCCACCACACAAATTGGAGGCCCCACCCCTCCCTGCCTCTCCTGTTGTCTCCTACACGTGCCTGCATTTTTCACCCTCGGCACAGAAGGCACCTCACAGCTCCCACGCTTGGTGAGCTCCTATGCAACCTCGAACCCTAGCGGGAGCGTGGCCATCTCCATGAAGCTCTTTTGAACGGTTTCTCCCTCCCTCCTCTGGATCAGACATATTTCTCCTGTGCTTATTCACTTCTGCTTTAAATGACTGGTCCATGCAGGGTGCCCCCTGGCTAGACTGTTAGCTCTGAGGAGACAGGATCCATACCTCTGTGTCAATTAGTATCTGCAATGATTAGCACAGCACCAGCTCACAGCAAATGCTTAATATTTATCGAGAGCAAGAAACAACAAATGACAGAATATATCAGCCCCGAGTTTTGGGCAAATTGCAGCCTTGTCTGCAAAGTGAGGGTTTCTCAGCTGCTATTCCTATTCAGCCCAAGGCATGGATGCATCATAGAACAACTTCCTCCTTGTTCTGGAGCGGTCACAACTATGTCATCACCAATGACAACTAGTTATTTTTCATATTTTGTAAAAAGGGAATACAAGGATCCTAGGATTGCTGTACTGTAAACTCACTGCCTACCAAGCATGTTGGTTATTT